TTTTTACCAGAAACTGCTCACATAAGAGAAGATGATACTTGGCGTGGTGCTTATCCTGCCCCTGGATTGGTTGATAGGCGTGTTGAAATCACTGGTCCAGTCGATAGAAAAATGGTTATCAATGCCTTAAATTGTGGTTCTTCTACTTATATGGCAGATTTTGAAGGTAATTGCCAGTTTCTATGCGATCTACAATTTACAAACTTATTTCTAATGTTGATCATATCATATATTATTAACCACAGATTCTAATGCACCAACATGGGAGAATAATCTTGATGGTCAAGTAAATTTACGTGATGCAATTCGTGGAACCATAACTTTTACCAATCCTGCAAATAACAAGAAATACTCTTTACGTAAAGATGGTAAAATTGCTACCTTGATCGTACGGTAAATTCTACTTATTAAACTTTGATATAGTGTATCATTATATTTGAATTGTTCTAAATTTATTATTATTATCATTCGAATTAGTCCTCGTGGTTGGCATTTAGAAGAAAAACATGTTGTAATCGATGGTGCACCTGTATCCGCTTCAATTTTTGATTTTGCTTTATACTTTTATCATAATGCAAAGAAATTAATTGAAAGCGGTCTCGGTCCTTATTTCTACTTGCCAAAAATGGAATCTCATTTGGAAGCAAGGTAACTTATGATCATTTATATCATTTTTATTTTTTTTACATTGTTCATTTAATAACTATTTTATTTGCTATAAAGGTTATGGAATGATATTTTTAATGTTTCACAAGATATTATTGGTATTCCCCGTGGTACTATTCGCGCCACTGTTTTAATCGAAACAATTCTTGCTGCATTTGAAATGGATGAAATCATTTATGAACTTCGTGAACACTCTTCCGGTCTCAATTGTGGTCGATGGGATTATATTTTTTCCGTAATCAAAAAACTCCGAAACAACCCCAATTTTATCCTTCCTGATCGTAGTGATGTTACTATGACAACTCCGTTTATGGATGCCTATGTTCGGTTGCTTATCAAAACTTGTCATCGTCGCGGTGTTCACGCCATGGGTGGTATGGCTGCTCAAATTCCGATTAAAAATGACCCTAAAGCAAATGCTGTTGCTCTTGAGAAAGTTCGAGTTGACAAATTACGTGAAGTTAAA